AGCAAATATTATGCGAACATATTTAAATAAAGCTGCATATGTATGTTGTCAAAATGCATTTTCTCCTTCACATTTTAGCAGTCTTATCAGGTTATTTCTAAAACTTTTGCATTTTAAAGTGTATCTTACCMCCCCCCCCCTCCCCTCCCCGTGAAAAGATAACTCCACCCCAAGGCGAAATTTGAAAAATGCATCAAAGTGGGTAGGGGAGGGGGGTTATAGAGCGAAGGTGTGGCCAGGACGAGAGAACGTGACAGCTAGCATTAGCATAATTGATGCTACATGGAAAGTGACCACAGTATTGCAGGTAGTTACATCTCTGAAAGGTCTGAGGTGGAGGATTTTTACCCCACACCAGCCTCGGACAGAGGAGGAGGAGCGCTCCGACAGCCTGGCAGGGGCGTGTCTTAGAGAGGCTTTTATACCAGAACACAGCCGCTGTGACGAAACCACGGAGAAGACACCTCACCATGGAAAGCCGTTAACCAATATGCAAATTAGCCTGCAGTACCACTGCTCTACCYATATGAGCAGCAAAAAGACGTTTTTAGACGAAATATTACAGATTTGAACAAATACGCACAAAAACATCAAAATTAGCACAGAAACAGTACTATWTAACATTTTAGACACATTCTAGACTGTTTATCAGCTAAAAAAAGTTAATTTTGGGGTAAGTTACTCTTTAACTAGGGGGTGCATGATATTCAGGAAAAACCTGATACTGAGATTTTTTAAATTAATATTTTTCTGTGATATATATATTGCGAAATGGAAACAATGCAGACATTTTTGACAGATGACTTGAATTAAGTCATGCATACCTGCAAACTTGTGGCTTTTCTGCAACGTTTTTCAAATTCAAAACAAAATAGGTCACTTACGAGTTTTTCTTTGGGTGTTTGTACAATTTTCCATAGACTGGTTTCAGAAACAATGGGGTTGTCTTCACAATAGAAGATCTTTGATGAAACCTCATTTGACCAATCACAATCAAGATAAATGTCCATCTTGACTCTTGGCCAAATGACTCACAGCTAAGATGGAGAGGGTTTCTTCAACATGTTTTTCACGGCCTTCCACAACAGTGGGGGTGAAGTAAGGGACCGTGATAAATCTATGTGCAACTTCTCAGCTTTCAGAAACAATCAGATTTTTTTCTGATGGCTCGAGATGTAAAGTTACAGTAATCACCTGCCACAGACTCGTAAAATGGATTAACACTTTTTTATTGATGTTCAGGCAGATTTCTTCATTGTTCCAACCGTCAACCATTGAAGATGAAGTGAAAATATTTGTATAGAACATGTGAATGTGTGTGTTTGTTATTGGGGTATTTTAAATGTCTAAAAAGTTCCAGGAAACACGAGTAATAAATATATAGTAAATATAAAACAATTTGATGTATTTATTAAGCCTAAGTTTTCAGAACAGTGCACCTCAAATGGTTGGAAATGCATGTTTTACCACCTAGAGTTCCTGTCACTGTTGTTTTAGACAATTTATGAAAATTTTAAAGACCTCTACGTTGAAGATGGAAATCAAAGAATCAACTGGAAGCTTCTTTTAGGCATGTACACACTGTAATTCTGACAAATTGATCAAATATACAACATTTATTAGCAATTTAGACTTAAAAATATTTCATAAGTTGGCATAAGTTGTCTAGTGCGACAGGGCCTTAACATGTCATCTTCATCGTCTTCCTCCAACAACCTTTCTCTGAAAAACTTTGCCATTATTGTCCCAGAAGTTTCACAACAAAATGAAAGTTTCAGCTTTTTTTTTTTGACACAAAGCTGCTCACTTCTGCCAGCAGAAGCAACTAGTCAAAATAAAAGCTGTTACACATGACAGTTTAGTACAATGACTTATGGTTTAGTTACTAGATAACACGACTTAATTTGCACCCGACATTGCAGGATCTGCCATGTGACTACTGCACACATGTACATGACGATGACKATTCTCAAGCAATTTATCGTGCAGCTCTAGTGCCAACTCAGTTATTTCAAAGCTTTTCCCAGAAAGCCCAAATCTGCTCTGATTGTTTTGAACAAAAGATACAAAATGCAGAATATCAAATGCATATAGAGTGAGCAGTTTGAAAATAGCTTGATGATGTCATTGAAAAGACAATAGTTGTTTTTCAGAATTCATAATTATACCTAATTAATCCCTGGAGCTAAAGGTCAGTGAAATGATGAAACTCTACGCTTCACTTCAACTGCAGCTCATTTAGCAGCTTCAGTTCTTTGCAGCAGGAAACAATGCTTCATATTTAAATGAATCTAAATAACATTAACAGCTAAGTGCTGAGGTCTGAAGAGCCTCTCAGCCTAGAGCGGAGTCTGGCTGTTGATTAGGTTTATGATGACAAAGTGACTACAGCCGCACCATTCCATTAACATCACATCTTTCATTAACGCAGACGTCCTTGGCAATTCTCAGTGTAATGAACCTAAACACAGATATTCTGCTTTTTATGTGTTTTTAATTTAAAAGATGAATGATGGTGTCACAGAGGTACAACTGCAGATGCAAAACCTTTTTCAGCAGGATTTATCATCTCGTGTTTCAGTTTATTTAAAAGCTTTTGATTAAAAAWATAATAATGCTTGTGACTTAAAGGGATAGTTCAAATGTTTTGCAGTGAGATTCGAATAAAAGGTTATAAACAATTGATATCTTATTCGTTGTAGATGGCTGTTGAAATTATTCCAGTTTGGAGAAACTGAGTTTAATTCTGACTGAACTGATGAGCTAATGGCTAGTTTGAGCTGGACCAAAACCTCATTATTAAACATTTCATTGAAGTTTATGTAAACACTGTTTTATAAATCTTTGCATTGCTGTCAATTTTACATGATATTAGCAATTATATATACAGCGGGTAAAATAAGTATTTAATACGTCAACATTTTTCTCAGTAAATATATTACTAGAGGTGCTAATGACATGAAATTTTCACCAGATGTCGTAAGTGATCCATACATACAAAGAAATCAAACCATAAATGTCCAGAAATGAAGTTATTTGTAATAATGTGGAATGGCACAGGGAAAAAGTATTGAACACACTTACTGAAATTTATCTAATACTTTGTACAAAAGCCTTTGTTGTCAATGACAGCTTCAAGACGCCTCCTGTATGGAGAAACTAGTGGCATGCATTGCTCAGGTGTGATTTTGACCCATTCTTCCACACAAACAGTCTTCAAATCTTGAAGGTTTCGTGGACCTCTTCTATGAACTCTGATCTTTAGTTCTTTCCATAGATTTTCTGTTGGATTCAGGTCAGGTGATTGGCTGGGCCATTCCAACAGCTTTAGTTTCTTTCTCTGAAACCAACTGAGAGTTTCCTTGGCTTTGTGTTTGGGCTCATTGTCTTGCTGAAATGTCCAGCCACGTTTCATCTTCATCATCCTGGTAGATGGAAGCAGATTTTTATCAAGAATGTCTCTGTACATTTTTCCACTCATCCTTCCTTCAATTATTTGAAGTTTGCCAGTACCATATGCTGAAAAACAGCCCCACACCATGATGTTCCCACCTCCAAACTTCACTGTTGGTATGGTGTTTTTGGGCTGATGTGCAGTGCCATTTGACCTCCAAACATGAAGTGTATTCTGGCATCCAAACAGTTCAATGTTGGTCTCATCTGACCAGACTATATTCTCCCAGTATTTCACAGGCTTGTTTAAATGTTGTGCAKCAAACTTTAAAGGAGCTTCAACATGCTGTTTCTTCAKCAGTGGAGTCTTGCGTGGTGAGYGTGCATACAGGCCATGGTGGTTCAGTGCATTACTTATTGTTTTCTTTGAAACAATCGTACCTGCTAATTCCAGGTCTTTCTGAAGCTCTCCACAAGTGGTCCTTGGCTCTTGGACAACTCTTCTGATAATTATTTTCACTCCTCTGTCAGAAATCTTGTGAGGAGCACCTGGTCGTGGTCAGTTTATGGTGAAATGATGTTCTTTCCACTTCTGAATTATGGCCCCAACAGTGCTCACTGGAACCTTCAGAAGTTTAGACATTCTTCTGTAACCGATGCCATCATTATGCTTTGCAACAATAAGGTTGTGAAGGTCTTGAGAGAGCTCTTTACTTTTACCCATCATCAGATGGTTCTTGTGTGATACCTGGCCATCATTTGGGACTGAACCAGCTGATATTAACTTGCACTGACAAGGGGCAGGCTTGYTTTCTAATTACTGAGAGAGTTCAGCTGGTGTCTTGGCTTTCCATGCCTTTTTACACCTCCCTTTCTTCATGTGTTCAATACTTTTTCCCTGTGCCATTCCACATTATTACAARTAACTTMATTTCTGGACATTTATGGTTTGATTTCTTTGTATGTATGGATCACTTGGGTTGTTACCGACATCTGGTGAAAATTTCATGTCATTAGCACCTCTAGTAATATATTTACTGAGAAAAATGGTGACGTGTTCAATACTTATTTTACCCGCTGTAATTATATGGTAATTGGAAAAGTAAAAAAATTAAAATGACAGTTAGCTGTAGCACTTCCTGCACAGCCTGGAGCATCTCCAGCAGAAATATTGTAGTAAAACAACCACATAATGTGAAAACAAATCATTGTAAAGGTTCAAAGATATTGTTTATATTAGCTACTATAACATTTTTGAGATTGGAGTTGTTTTATTGGCAGCAAATTACTTTTGCTTTGGGTTCTAGGCACCTGCTCATAAATCTACCTTTATAAATAAAATATGAATTATCATGTTTTGTACATGTAGTTGTGGAAAAATGTGTGACCGCCTATGATTGTTTGAACATGTTTAAAATTGAAAAATTACATGGGAAACATGTTAAAAACATGTTTTATGTGTTAAAAGACCTATCTAAAACAGGTAAGATATTAATTATTCATAACATCTCCACAAAGCCACATTTCAAAAGAGCCAGACTGTCACTTTAATGCACACCAGAAATGAACACAAACGTTTTGACTTAGGTTTACTTCTGTATTTTCAGGGGTCACATTTGTTTTTCTTCCAGAGGCTCCCCTYCCTGAAAAGCCGCGCAGTGATAATGTGACGTACGTGAATATTCCCGTCAGTCCCACGTCCAAGAAACAACTGAACTACATGGAGCTGGAGCTGCAGGAGCCGGTCCACAGCAGCAGAGGGACCGCTGCACATCTGCCCACTCAGAGTAAGGATCCACTTCCACAATTTCCACAGATGTTTGCTGATTATACAGCGGTGCCTTGGCTTTTGAGTGTCCCAACTAATGAGTTTTTCAAGAAAAGAGATGGTTTTTGCTTTGAGTTAAGTTCAAATTTGGTTTGCGAGGCAGAATCAGATACTCCACAATATTTGGCGCAGTGAAAGCTACGGTGACCGTCAGCCACAACCGMGGTGAGCTCGCAGAGGTAGCATCAGTGTTGCGTTTGTATTTGTGCTTGCAGGTATTTATTTCCAGTTCAGCCTTTTCCTCTACTCATGTCAGCATCTTCAAGTCATCTGRTCTCAAAGGTAAATGCTCATTATACATAAAGAAACCAGTTTATTGCAGTACAATCTATTGTATCATKTTTGTATACAATATTCAGTACATTATTTGATTATTAAGTACAGTTATTTAAAGGGGAAATATGTGATTCATGGGCAGGGTGTGTGGGGTGGGGGCTGTGGAGGTGTGATCCGTGATGAGGAAGTTCAGCTTAAAGACACGTCCCAGGGGCGTTTCTAGTCCCCACCTGTCGTTTTGCTCCTCAGCATGGCTTCCTAAAAACGCTGTAGGATTTCTCAAACATGCATGAATGAGTCAGAKCAAGGCTTTGGGCATGTTTTTTATGAGAGTATAACATTATAACACGAGATAAAACTCAAAAAAATTGATTTTACATGAAATTGCCCCTTTAAAAGCAAAAATAAATTGCAGTGTTTTTGGTCCAGAATGGAATAATGGCATTTCATTTCTATGGGGGAAATTGATAAGCAGTGGTGGGCACAACCCTGCWAATTTGTTAATAGCGGAACTAGCTTCTCATTTAGGAAATTAGCTTTTTAGCTAACTTTGAAAACCATTAGCGTAAAAATTAACTTCTGCTAAATTAAGTTTAGCTAATTTTCAGTCTGCTAAACTTCTGTTTTTATGCTGTTTATTCAMATTTAAATAAAAACCATCACTTCTTACAAGCAGACGTGTCAGGCACCGTTTGTGTAGCATGTAGCATCTTTAGCAGCTAAACTTCAAATTAAGAGCATCAACAAGAAATGAAACATTTAACAATATATAAATAACGAATACAAAAATGAACTACGTATAAAATATGGCAGAGAAAGTATTTGCTGTTTTTTTGTCTAACTTCAAAATGTTTATTAAAATACAAATTAGCTCAAATAAGAGCTTTTATTCTGAACTGTACAAAAAAAAACATCCAGAGGTACATATTTATCAAGCAGCACACAGATCTAACATGGTTTTAGGACAAGATATCTTAATTTTTATTTGATGAGGCTCAACTTGTCATTTTTGAAATATCTAAACTTTCTCTTTCATGTTAAGTTTTTAAAGTGTCTCCAGACTGAAGGTACCCAGTCCTCTTCACAGCCTTAAATGATGTACTTTTTCTACTTTATACATCATCAAATACTTTTTACTGCATATTTATATTCCCATCAGAGAAGCAGAAGCTTTTTTTCCATTGAATAAATTAGACACAAACATGACTTTTCTTGCATAAGTTTATATTTAATTCAGGCGATAACCTCAGTGGTGCCCTCTTGTTTTCACCGCGCACAAGGCTTTCTGCATCAAGCTGCATTGTGGCCAAATGATTATTTTTCTATGTTTTATTTTATTTTTTTCAATTGGAACATTTTCTCTTCAAACCCTGCAGACCGACATGAAAGAGCCAGCTCACAATAAGTCAACACGTCAGTATCAAGGGAGGATTWAAAAAAGTCATTGTGGATACATGAATCATCAGTAATTCAATTCCACCCCATCATCTGTACAGAAACCACTGCCAGACGACTGAGACAATTACTGAAAGACATGTGAGACCTTGTCATCGAAGACGAGGCRGCAAGCTTTAATTGACTGACGGGTCGGCTATTAGCACCGCTGGTTTCATGTGTCAGAAGTACTCGGGAGCTGAGGTTAATGTCAAATGTCAGCTTTACGGTTTATATTCCAGTCTTATTAATCTGTCGTCCGGGAGGAGTGGAGGCGTGCAGTGTGTGGGGGCATTCTCAGATCACAGCTGTGGATTCTCCCGTACTTATTGGGGTCCTCCTCTTGAGACAACTGATGTGCTGTGAGAAGCTGGCACAAAAAACACCAAAACAGGAAACAAGGCTTGGAGCATGCTCAGAACATTACACAAACACAACTACAAGAAACATAGGTAGGTTTATCACAATATCAAATTTTGCTGGATGATAAACTGCTTAAGAAATTTTTCCCATAAACTATAATATTGGTTGGAGACCATTTTAATCTAATAGAAGTTACGAAAAATTTACGTAAAAGTTACAGACAGAACAGTAGCAGAGTTTGTGTAAACACAAAACAACAGCTACTGCAGCTGTAACATTGCTACCCACCTCTGTCCACGCTGGTACAATTTATTCTTAGTGTCTTCTTCTGGCTTCATGAAATAATTGCTGTCAATGGCAAGTTTACAAAATTTGAGTACTGTAAAGAAAAAACAACTCTCTGTGAACCCAGGCATCACCAGCTGAAAGAAGGTGTTGTAAAACTGAAGATGCTCCTCTAGCTAAACACCTGTTCAGGTGGCTCTCATGCTACAGAGGTTATGAGACCCTGGCAAATACTTGACGCCAGAGTTCACTCCTCCATACACTAAGGAGTAATAAAGAGGTAGACACCAAGAAAACAAACGGGTAAATGAAAATATTTGGCCTCATTTTAATTAATCGTGTGGTTAATTAATTTATTGTTTATCCTGTCAGGCCTAGACATAGGTTAGATTAGACGGGGTATTAGTGGGATTACTATTATTTTAAAAAGGTTACATTTTGGCCGTCTACATGAAAATCAAAGGGTGGTATTTTTAGGATGTATTATTATTATTATTATTATTATTATTATTGTTATTATTATTATTATTATTATTATTATTTTGCTTTAGAACTGATTTACGAACAATACCATTTTGGTGCTCCTAAAATGTCGTTTCCATTTGAATGCAAGGCTGAAATGATTACGGTTGGTCCTGTGTGAACCTCACCTGAAACTAAAGAACTGTGACAGTTGGTACWCATGAGCATAAATACATTAGAAACTTCAGTCGAGTCATTTCCATATTCACCCAGTTTGTGKTCTGATGCTCTGCCACACACTTTAAGCAGTCAAACTGGTTGTCAGGACATTTAAATCTGAACTGTTTGTTGCGCCGTAGGGTGACTTTTATTCCCATCAGTCTGTTTTCTGCCACTTATCTGGAGCCATGCTGCGAGGACAGGAAACCGAGGTGAGATCTCAGACCTACCTCCTCGCTCAGCTTTTTTGTGGGGTAATACCGAGGCGTTCTCAAATCAAATGAGAGATATAATCTCCTTTTAATCTTTCAGCGTTCCTGTCTTTCTCCCCTAAGGACTTCTCCCAGTGGGAGATATTCAAAGCACCTCATGATGAAGGCTTCTGAGAGGGATTCTTACAAAATACTCAAACCCCTTCAGCTGTTCCCTTTAATGTCTTAAACTCTCTCCTGATTTGGTAAACTGAGAAATCCCAGTTAGCCTTCAGTGGAAGCTTATGTCTGTCACTTACTGTATATTCACATTCTCTTTCTTCCTGTCAGTATTCAGAACATAGATCCAAAGCTTTTCCCCATTCGTTTATTCACATTTTGACAGACGGACAGGTACAACGTCTGGATCACTCCACCTGTCCATCTTCTTGGGATACAAGACCCTGAGACATTTCAGCTACTCCACCTCAAGCTGCAGCTYACCGAAGAGTTTAAAATCCACTTTTCTCTGACCATTACCAGACCTTTTAACATGTTGTTGCTCCTGATTCTGTTTGTTTCACACAAAACTCCATCTTCATCTTCTGCTGCTTATTCATAGTCGGGTTGTGGAGGCAACAGGTGAAACCTGTGAAAACCCAGACCTCCCTCTCCCCAGCAACACTTTTCAGCACGTCCTGGGGGACCCTGAGGCGTTCCCTGGCCAGATAGGATTCATAATCCCTCCAGCAGGACCTAGGTCTTCCCCAGGATCTTCTACCGGTGGGACGTGCCCAGAATGCCTCTAAAGCGAGGCAGGAGGCATCCTTATCAAATGAACCACCTCAACTRACTCCTTTCTATGCAAAGGAACGGCAAATCTACTCCGAGCTCCCACTGAATGAAGGAGCCCTTCACCCTGTCTCCATGCCTTAGGTCTGCAGAGAGGACGTATTTATCATCATGATAGCAATGTACTGGGGTGGTGGGCAGAGCCATGAAAACAACCTAGCCTAGATGTGATATCCATGATCGTAGCATCATATTAGCATAGTCTTATAGCATCCAGCTGCATCCTGACATAGTCTACATGAGACTGGCCCAGAAATGCAAAAATAGAAGGAAAAAAATATGCAGTACTAGGCCTGTCGCGATAGACAATAAATCAATTAATTGCACGATACATTTTCTTGAGGTCGGTAAAAAAAATGAGGACGTTAAGTTTCATTTTCCTGCTTGTTCGTTTACTTCGTCTCTCTCCCTCTTTGTGCTCCGCTTCACAGGAGCTCAGCTGACTCCTCCCCTCCTGTTTTCTTATGGTGCGTTCACACCGAACGCGATTTCAGCGTCAAAATCGCAGCCAACGCTGAAGTTTGAAGCTTGTGC